TAATTAATGAAGGTGGCTACACTAAACAACAGATTTTCAATGTAGGAGAAGCAGCCTTCTGTTGGAAGAAGATGCCATCTAAGACTTTTTTAGCTAGAGAGCAGAAGCCAATGTCTGGCTTCAAAGCTTCAAAGGATAGGCTGACTCTCTTGTTAGGGGCTAAAGCAGCTGGTGACTTGAAGTCAAAGCCACCAATGCTCGTTTACCAGTCTGAAAATTCTAAGGCCATTAAGAGCTATGCTAAATCCACTCTACCTGTGCTCTGTAAATAGAACAACAAAGCCTGGATGGCAGCACATCTGTTTACAACATGGTTTGCTGGAATTTTAAGCCCATTGTTGAGATGTACTGCTCAGAAAAAGCTTTCCTGTCAAAATACTATTTACTGTTCATTGACAATGTATCTGGTCACCCAACAGTTCTGATGGAGATGTACAAGAAGATCAATGTTATTTTCATGCCTGCTAACACAGCATCTAATCTGCAACCCGTGGATTAAGGAGTCATTTTGACTATCAAGTCTAATTACTTAAGAAATAGATTTCATAAGGCTAGAGCTGCCATAGACTGTGATTCCTTTGATGGATCTGGGTAATGTGAATTAAAAACCTTCTGAAAAGGATTTGCCATTCTAGATGTCATTAAGAATATTCATGATTCACAGGAAAAGGTCAAAATGTCAACATTAACAGGAATTTAGAAAAAGTTGATTCAGCCCTTATGGATGATTTTGAAGGGTTTAAGACTTCAGTGGAAGAAGTAACTGCAGATGGAAATAACAAGAGAACCAGAATTATAAGAGGAGCTTGGAGATGTGACTGAATTGCTACATCCCATGATGAAACTTGAATGGACGAATTGCTTCTTATGGATGAGCAAAGAAAGTGGTTTCTTGAGAAGGAACCTACTCCTGGTGAAGATGCTGTAAAGATTCTTGAAATGACAACAAAGGATTTAGAACATTACATAAACTTAGTTGATAAAGCAGAGGCAGAGTTTGAGAGGATTGACTCCAATTTTAAAAGAATTTCTGCTGTGGGTAAAATGCTATCAAACACCATTGCATGCTACAGATAATTATTAGTGAGAGGAAGAGTCAATTGATATGGCCAACTTATTTGACCTTATTTTAAGAAATTGCCACAGCCATCCTAACCTTCAGCAATCACCACCCTGATCAGTCAGCAGCCATCAGCATCAAGGCAAGACCCTCCACCAGCAAAGAGATTATGATTAGCTGAAAGCCTAGATGATAGTTAGCATTTTTTAGCAATAAAGTATTTTTTAAATTAAGGTATGTGCATTGATGTTTTAGACATAATGCTATTGCACACTAAATAGACTACAGTATAGTGTAAACATAACTTTTATATGAATTGGGAAACCAAAAAGATGATTTGACTCTCTTTATACCCACATTTGCTTTATTGCAGTGCTCTGCATATACTTAAGGTGTACAAATACAGGCATGCCTGTATTTAAGATATATAAATGATTCATTCAGTATTTTAAACAGTAATTTGCTTTCTGGTGACAAAAAAAATGTTTACTGATAAAAATTTGGAAATTTGAAAAATATAGAAGAAAAAAAAACCCATTAGTAAATCTCCAAACTATGAAAACCACTGCTACTATTTTCTCAGTTTTTTTTGGAGTGAGTGGCAGTGGAGATAGAAAGATAGATAGATAGGTAGGTAGATATGTAGGTAGATGATAGATAGATAGATAGATAGATAGATAGATAGATAGATAGATAGATAGATAGACAGACAGATAGACAGATAGGTTGATAGATAGGAAGAGGTAGATAGATTGGTAGGTAGGTAGGTAGGTACAGACAGATAGGTAGGTAGATAAGTAGATATGTTTTTACATAATTATGATTATACTGTGTATATAGTTTGTGTCTTGCTTTTTTATGTAATGGTATGTTGTACTAGTTCCCTAACATACTCTTGGAGAACATCATTTCTTATTAGGCATTTGAGAAGCTTCCAATTTTCACTAAACTATTTCCAATTTTTTGACAAAGAACAATGAGATGGAATGCCTTATATTTACCTTTTTTGGTGTATCATTAATCATTTTCTTCAGATAAGTTCTTAAAAGTGAAATGAGTAGGTCAAAGCATCTAAAGATTTTGAGTATTGAAGCTGCACCTGTGGTCATTAAAATTCATTTTTAAGTTAGTCTGTTTCTAATGATAAACCCAGTGGGAGTATCGTGGATAGCGTAGCCTCTTTTCAAGTGTGATTACCTTGGGCTGCCCCACCTGGCTGAGTTATTCCAGCTGCGATAATGAGGGAAAGCCTTGTGTGGAAGACTCCTACTCTGTTGCGGCTTCATCAACAGTAGCTACTATGAATTTTAAGCTCTTTCCTTATTTGATATTATGAAATATTATCCATAATATTTGTTTGCATTTAATAAATTTGAATATTCTATAATATTCTATATATTATTATTTATATTATGAGGGTTGAATGAGATAGCTTGCTAAGAGTCAGCAGGTAGGAAACGCTCAATCCTCTCTCCTTTTTCCACTACATGAGTTCTTGGAAACTTATTGCTATTTTTTTCCATTGGGATATTTTTCCCCTTACTGCTTATAAATGTTTTTATATAGTAGATGTTAGTTCTAAATAATATAGTTTGCAACTTTTTGTCAGTCTGTCATTTGCCTTTTAATTTTGTTTATAGTGTGTTTTTGATAGACCTTAACTCATTAGAACCTATCAATTTTTCTCCCATAATTTCCTCCTTTGCTTTTATGCTTAGGCCTTTCAAAATAAAAAGGTCAATTGTCCCCTATATTTTATTAGCCAATAGTTTATTAGCAAGTTGTAGAATTGCACAGTTATGTGCTGTACTAAATGTGAAATTTTATATTCAATTATAGAAAAAGTAAAAATTGATGGGAGAGGACTTGGCCTTGGCATTCATGTCCTTTCCTATAATCACAATTGGCACATAGGTATGAAAAGGAGGAAGGCCATGGAAGAGAATTGTCTCCTGCCTGCCACCCCAACTTGCTGACTTTTTAACAAGCTACCTCATTTAACCATTATAATAACCCAGCAGAGGAGATGTTGTCATGCTCTTTCAGTTTTAGAAAGATTAAGGTACTCACCCACAGACCCCAAGGCAGGGAGGGCCAAGCTGGGATCTGAACGTGCATGTGTCCAAGGAGATCCTTGGTTTGTCCACTCAGTGAATACTTTTATTATTGTCCTCATGTGTTCTCAGTGAGTTCACCTCAAGCAAAGTAATCTTCAAGATAGTCAGATGAGGACTTGGTTCCCAAATATTTGGATGACTTTGACTACCTATTACTATCACTGTTACAATAATAGTGCAGGTTATTAATAATTTCTAAATATCAAACTTGGCATGCTTGCAACCTGGCAGCAATTTGCAGAATAAAGGGGTACTGACTTGTTTAGGTAAGAGAGTTCTTTCATGTCTGAGAGAGATGAATAATTGCTCTGGATGCTGGCTTGAGGAGAAGAAAGAGGATGTTTATTTTCCATGGTTTTCGGTGACATAGTTGTAACCCCCAGATTACATTTAAATGATTGAGTGCCTGAAATGTGTGATGCTTTTAATAGAAGTCTGTATGTGATTTGTGCTGAAATAGATATCATCATACACTACATTTAATAGAGGCAAGGGAAAGCTTGTTTCAATATTAAAGAAAACATTATAGAAGGAAAACTATATTCATTAAGTTATTTTTTCCTACATTTTCTAAAGGGTCACCTTTATTGCAGTCTCCCATTTAGAACATAACATTTTGACAGCTACTTCCTTAAACAATCAACATATTTGTAGCTTCTTATATTCAGAGTCACCCTGCCTCACTCTGCATCACATTTGAGGGCGGCTCATTTATATACTTTTGGTACTCAGCAATCACACTATAACTCAAAACATGGATCTATTAGAACACTGATAGAATGCCAGTGCTGGGAATGTATCCCAGTGTTGCTCCAGGGGAAAAGGTGTTCCTGGCCCTGTACGAATCCCATGTGAAGCTGGTGAAACCAAAATGAGTCAAGGGAAAGAGTGGTTTGGGGGGAAGGCTTATTATTTCTTAGTTTGCTTGAATTCACTAGCTAGGCCTGGCCCTGTCTGTCTCCTCTGGCTGCTGCTCACACTCTGCCTCCTTGCACACCCTCTGTTCCCTCCTGCCCCTTCTGGGAGGAACTCCACTAGCAGATCCTTGGTGACTGAGAGATGCCACACTGGTTCCGTAACAGGAACGGAGTGGAGGGTAGAGTGGCCATTATCTCTCCACACCTTGCTTGGGAGGCTGCAGTGGTAAACATCTATTGATACGCACATGGACTAAGGCTAGGTGGGAGATGCTAGAAATTCTGCAGTTTACCCCACACCCAGCCTACCGTGGATCAGGAACATTCAGTTTCTGCAGGTGGGCACACTCTGGGGACTGAGTTGGCTGTTCAGTTGGTGGGAGAACTGGATGGAGCAGGGGCCTCCTGCTCCTATTACGCTTTCCCCAGGATCATGAGATCAATGGGGGAGACGGGAGGGGAAGGAAGTGTGAGCATACAAGTATGGGAACTGATCAGAGTAAAAAGTAAAGACAAAAACAAAAAAGAAACAGGATTAGGCTGAGAGCTACTGAAAATTAAATAACCATTATAAAGAATTCAGTTAATGTGTATGTGTATATATTTTACTTTGGGCTTTATAGAATTTTTTAAATGATGGGATTGGGATAATTTTAATTTTTTGTGCTTTTATGAAATTTTCAAATATAAATCTAAGGGATAATGAAAAGGAGAGTCAGGTGTTTTAATAGGTCTCTGATATGGAACATTGCAAACCCTGGTCTCAACCTTACAAGCTTAGAGCCTTTTTTCCACCTTTCCTGAGCTTCAGCCTTATTTGTGTTAAGAGAAAACTTTTTCTGTTTGGTCAAATGAAAGCCTATGTTTTGACAATAACCTTACTTTTCTTTTTTCCCTTACACTCAGCACGGGACAGAGTGGGCCTCCCCCCCGTGTAGCATGTGCTCTTGCACTCACAGAGAAGTGCGGTGCTCCCGCCAACCATGCCCCCCGCTGCTGTGTGGACACCAGCAGCTGGAATTCATCCCTGAGGGAGGCTGCTGCCCAGTCTGTGTGGGCCCTGGGAGTAAGTATGTGCCTGGAGAAAGACACCCTCTTTGCCTTTGAGGTGACATCCCAACCCTTCTCTTTCTTGTTTGATGTGGCTCAAACATCCCAACCCCATTCCTTACTGGAACCGCGATGTACCTGACCCCATTCCTAACCGGAACAGATGGAGCCTTGCACTTGGCAGGAAGCAATTTTGCAGAGAGTGAGGTTGGAACAAATCTTTAAGCTCCATTCCAAATTTGGGATTCTCTGAGTCTCTGATTTATTTATTTTTTTGCCTTGACCAGATGCAACTCTCTGCAGTCATAGCTCCTGAGAAGGGAAGGGAGGAGGAAAAAGATTCTTTGATACGATTCCATAAGGGCAAGCTAGTTCCTCCTGCCTCTTGGAAGAGAGAAGAATGAACAAATCACTTCTCTGTAGTTTCACTAGTACTAATTCTTCTGTCTGGTCTTTGAGATGACATAGCATCTTTCTCTAAGACACACAGAACTGGAAGCAGATGTTTAATTTGTCTTTCTGGCATCTTCACTGTGGAGGTAATGCTGCTTATAAACAGAGGCACAGTTCAGCAGGCCAGGGGCACACTTCCAGGCCCTCGCCTTGGAATCCACATTTGGTCCAAATACCCCTTTTATTACATTTTATGGATGTATGTCCTGTTCCATGTTTATAACTAAGGAGTATGTACTTCATGGTAAGTGCCACCCACCAAAAAAGGACTGACAGCTGCTTTGGGGCAAACGACCCTCCAAGTAAAAATTCTTGAACAGAGCTGGGTTTGTGGGATCCTTTCTTACATATTAGCAGGCTTTCATGTTAGCCTCCACGAGAAACACATATTGGAAGCATTTTTCCTGAAGAGACTGGGGAATCAGCCAGGGCCAACTCTGTAATCTGTTGGTGTGACACAAACATGCAGGACCCCCTGTTCACAAAGCTGTGGCAGGGAGAAAGCTTTCCCTTTTCTTCCATGGTCTTTCTCACCTATCATATCATGTTTTTAGTTTGCTATTTAATGTCACACATCCTCAGGCATGGGGATACTTGCTTGGGAGGGATCCCCCACAGAATCCCCCTGCTATTGCTGCCTGGGGCACATACACTCCCTGGCACCCCCACTCAGGGCCCCACTGTGATTTTGAGGCTGGTAGTGTTCAGTGGGTATAGGTTTGGGAGGGGCTGAGAACCCATCCCAGGAAGACAAGGAGGCAGTGGCAAGTGGGACCACATATAAACTGAGGCCCTAGACCTCAGCACATGCTGCGTAGTCTCACTGGACTTCACTTACAAAACTCAGAGCTATGAAGATAGCTTATATAGTTACAGCAGTATGCTAACCCCCAAGCTTGGGGTCCCCTCCTTCACACAGGGCCCTGTGTGATTGCACTGGTCAGCACATACCTGCAGTCCACCATGGGATCAGCAAGTTCAATCCCCGCTGTAATTCTTATTTCTCTGACCTTCCAGAACCCTGTACCTACGAAGGCCGAGTGTTTCAGGATGGGGAGGACTGGCCCCTGAGTCAGTGTGCCAAATGTGTGTGTAGAAATGGGGCCACACAGTGCTTTGCAGCTCAGTGTCAGCCTCTGTTTTGTAACCAGGTAAGGAAGACAGTATTTGAATTATTTGACTGAATCCTTCACAGACTGTGAACGCCACTGTTCAGGACCTTGGAGTCTCTTCTGAGATTACATCAGGCAGGCCTGGAAATCTTAGGAACAGGAAGCCAAGGCTGTTCTGTTTTCCTTGTACTTTTGGAGACCATCCCTGAGACAGTTCTTTTACCCGTTTAAGCTAGAGAGGTCTCATTACCAGCTGTTTAGGCTAATTGTTACATAATGAAACTCAGCCTTGAGGGTACCCACAAAGAAACTGCCAGCTCCAATTGCTGATGTTCCAAAAATGTCAAGCTAAACATCTGGAAAATGCAGTAATATGATCAGTTATGTTATTATTTTTCAGTGCATATGTACAGTCTGCTTTTAAAAGTCATATGCATCTCTTTGAACATGATATCTACATGTACACTCTTTAATTCTTATAAGATAATGATTTTAGTGATCAAGGAATTTTCTCTGGGGAGGTTTATCATATTCGGATGTTATTCTTCATTTAAAGTTGATCTGATTTTAAAAATGTCAGGCTTTTCATATCACATAAATTTAAAGAGAAAATCAATTGCAAATAAATGTGGTATACATGGTATTTTATAGTTTTTAACTTTTCCAGAGGCTCCTATAGATGTTCTCTGGCAGTTGACAGATAACCATGAAAGGAGTTTGCCTCCAGTGGAAAAATAGCTCTTTTTTGATCAAAGGCAAAGCTGGAAGCCAACATTCAGCTGATACTGAGCAGTGCTTTGGGTCAGATAAAGCAAAATCGATGATATGGCATATTGTGGCAGTTGGGCAGTATTTCTAAAGGCAGACAAAAGGCAATTAGACAGGAAATGCTAAACAACTACAGCAACAACTGTATTCATGTCATATCTCCCAGTTCTTCACAAAGTCTTCTCCTGGCTTTAAAACTACAAATGAGGTTCTTGGTAGAGTTACACAATATCTCACACTCAGAGGACACTAGTGTTTTGATTTAGCACTTTCCAGGATTTAGTTTCCTTGTGTATGATGTGTAATTAATCAGTTTGCCACCATTACACTAAGGAAGGTGGGAGGGGCATGGCAGAGACACCACATTGTGAACCTTCTGCTTTCAATATTTGAAAATTTAGTCATGCACTGATTATTAGGGGCTAGATTTTGGAATAATTTAAAGTACCAGCTCCTACCAGCAGAAGAACAGACCCATAGATCAATGGAACAGAATAAAGAGTCCAGATATAAACCCATACATATGTGGTCAATAAATGTATGATAAAGGAGTCATGGATATACGGTGGGGAAATGAGTCTCTTCAATAACTGATGTTGGGAAAACTGGACAGTTACATGCAAGAGAATGAAACTGGATTGCTCTCTTAAACTGGTGTGCTCCACACACCAAAGTAAACTCAAAATAGATCAAAGACTTGAATATAAGACATGAAACCATACAACTATTAGAAGAAAACATGAGCAAAAATCTCTTGAACACAAGCATGAGCAGTTTTTTTTCTGGACACATCTGCCTGGGCAAGAGAAACAAAATAAAAATGAACAAGTGGGACTATATCAAACTAAAAAGCTTCTGTACAGCAAAGGACATCATCAACAGAACAAAAGGATAACCTATGATATGGGAGAATATATTTGTAAATGATTTATTTGATAAGGGGATTTAACACCAAAATATACAAATAACTCACACACCTCAACACCAAAAAAACAAAAACCTGATTAAAAAATGGGTGGAGGACCTTAACAGACGTTTCTCCAAAGAGATGTTTCTCACCTGAAAAGATGATCTACATCACTAGTCATTGAGGAAATGCAAATAAAAACCATAAAGAGATGTCACCTCACACCAGTTAGAATGGCCGCTATCCAGAAGACAAGAAATAATGAGTGTTGGTGAGGATGGGGAGAAAAGGGACCTTCCCACAATGTTGGTGGCAATGTCAATTGGTGTAGCCACTGTGGAAAGCAGTATGGAGGTTCCGCAAAAAACTAAACATAGAAACACTGTACAACCCAGTAATTCCACCTCTAAGAATTTACCCAAAGAAAAGAAAATTTCTGATTCAAAAAAGATATGTGCACTGCTGTTTACTACTGCATTATTTGTAATAGCCAAGATGTGGAATCAACCAAAGTATCTGTCAGTTAGATAAAAAGATAAAGAAGAGGTGGTATATGCACACAATGGAATATTATTCAGCCATAAACAAGAAAGAAATCCTAACATGTGCGGTAATATGAATGGGCCTGGAGAGTATTATGCTCAGTGAAATAATCCAGATGGAGAAAGACAGATACCATATGATTTCACTTATTTATGGAATCTAAAAACAATACAAAATGAACAAAATAGCAGTAGACTCAGAGACCCTGAAAAGTGACTGTGGTTACCAGGTGGAGAGGTTGGGGTGAGTGGGTGGGGAGAATGAGGGGTATAAAAGGGCACAAAAAATCTCAATCATAATATAAGTTGGTCATGGGGATAGTAGTATAGCATGAAGAATATAACCAGTAATTCTGTAACATTGGTTGACAGTAACTGCACAAGTTTGGGTGAGGATTTAATGATATGGGCAACTGTTGAACCACTGTGCTATATACCTGAGACTAATAGAAGATTGCATATCAACTATACTTTGATTTTAAAAGAAGAAAAAGAACCAATTCCATTTTTAAAAATATTAAATGTAAATTCTTGCTTGATACACAGAGCTCACTTATAGTTTGCATTGACATATATAATTAATTTTAAAAGATAAAATTTGGTACCATACTTTAGAGCTAATTGATTTGCAAGCATTCTGATGTCTTAGAAATAGATTGAGTTCATCATTAAATCTATATTTTTGAGAATGCATTTTTTAAAAAAGCATCTGTCAGGTTATTTAGAACCATTTTTCTTGATATAACATCCCTACTAAATATTGGATGTTCTGATGATATAAAGGGGTGTTATAAAATTAGCACTTGTAATGGAAACATTACCCCCACCTCCATCTACCATCATCATTAGCATTGCCATCACAATCACAACATTTTGGGCATTTATTATATACTAATTTTTAACTCTAAGAGCTTTGTAATTCTCTAACAACTCTATGAAGTAAGAGCTATTATTATCATCCCCACTTTACAGTAGATAAAACTGAGGTACAGAGAGGTTAAGTAATTTGCTCAGTGTACCACAGTTAGGAAGTATCTGACTCTTATGTTTAACCACTGTGCTATACTGCCTCCCAGAATGCTGAGTTGCATAGCGTTTATGTATATATCCATGATCACAAAAGCAGTAGTTGCTAACATCATTGAGCACAATTGCTAGTATTTTATATATATTAATTCAATAATACTTTTAAAAAAAAAGTAAGTTCACCAGAAGAAATGTATACCCAGGTCTTGAGCTCTAGAAAAATGTGATTTTTTTTAATATAAGGGTTTTTTCTTTCCCAATTGTAAAAAGAATGTGTGCTTAACTCATTAAGGAAAGTTCGGAAAAGGAGAAAAGCAGAAAAGGAAATGATCATCCATATTTCCATCATTCAAAAAGACCATGATCAATTTTCTTTTGTAATTCATTCCAATTTTTTGGTATGTACATGTGGGTATATTTGTTTGTTTAGATAGTTATGATCACATTTTAGGAGTTGGTAATAATCTCTGACAAAAGGAGAAATTGCTAATGTTCAAATAAGAGGTCCATTAGTACGAGATGTAAATTCACACTGAAATCGCTTGCTTTCGGCTTTTGTCTCGATGCCTTATGAACAGAGCCTTGACCATCCACGTTTCTGTGGGCTCCTTAAAATGTTCTGTTCAGTCTGATGGAGTTGTTCATGATGATGTTACTACCCCTTTTTTTTAATATTGTTATTTTCCCATTCCCAATATTGATTGATGAGTAGGTCGAAGTTCATCTTCAGAAATTTTTTTCAAGAAAGATAGAAGACTGGTATGCCTTCTGAGCCACTAAGTGTTTGAGAATTATTTTCTTGTTGCCCATACACATGAAAGATACTTTGGAGGGCTTTGAAATTTGGGGTGGTTATAAACTCTTAACCATTCCAACCCTTAGACTCCTTTCCACTGAACTGTGGAATTTAGTGCTGTGGAGGGGAAGTTTGTCTGCTTCCGACTACATTGCATTCAGCTATCTTTACTCTACTGGATTCTTGCCGGATGTTTGTTTTCTTTATAATTGAAACATTTTTCAGGCTATTTCTAGGTGAGGTGTCTTTTCACATATTTTGCTGAGCATATTGTGAAGCCCTTTCAGTCTGTATTTCAGGTTTTGAAATGTTTTTTCAGTTATGGCTTTCATTAATCATATTTGTTTCAATTATTCTCATTTCTCTAGAAGCATCTATGATTCTTAGATTGTTCCCCTCTCTTTCTCATTATCAATCATGTTCTTTCTCATCATTTTTCATGTTGTGTCTTTCCTCTGCATTATGGAGAGAGCTTCTTGAGTTTATATTTATTATTACCTCTAGTATTGATTTTAATTTGACAATTTCACTTTTATTTTCTTTGTTCTCTTATCATTGGTTCATCTGGTTTTTAAATCCCAATGCTTATTCTTTCTTTATTGCTTTTTGCTTCTATTTAATAAAGACTGAATTTTCTTTCATCTATTGAAGTTGCAATATAGCTTTTAAATCTTTGTTTTTAGGTCTTGTAATATACAGTGTTCAGAAATCTGCTTTTTCTCTGAATCTTTAAAACATTATTAGTTTCACTTGTTGTCAGGGTCCCTCCCAAATTCCTTTCTTTCTGTTTACTTGTCCTTGATCAAGAAAAATCTGTTCATACCCACTGCTTGAAAGCTGCAAGTGAAAGTGGCCTGCACCTGGCTAACCCACGTTCTTGGATCCATAGCCGGATGCTAAGGAATGTGAATGTCTCCTGGTCCCCCGTCCGGGAGGCTTTTGTTTAGGGAAGCTCTATCACACCGTGATGAGATCCTTTTCTGTCTCCACTGCCCAATCCTCTTACAGTTTGAATACATGAAACAAAAAACTATACTCTCCAGTTTGAACTGCTGTAAAGGCTCTTTCCATCTCTATTGGTGACTGTGTTCTTTACATTGGGGTGTTCTCTTTGCCCCCTGCTTTTTAACATGTACTTCCTGCTCTTTTTTTTTCCATAATGGGCTCTGACTACATACATCCAGAAAGATACTGAGGAAGGTGAGGGCTGGCACTCCACTGCTTCAAACAACAGCCGCCACAGACTGGAGGGAGGGACCCATGTCATATTTATTTGAGCAAGGCAGAGGGTTGGGAAGAAATGATGGTTCTTATTTCTACCTAGGTTTACACAGCAAAGAAAGGCCACAGGATGTCTTACGATCAGTTGGACTTCCTCTTGGCAATGGCAGGAGGTTGGTTGTTTATTGGTGGTGTAATATTTATCTCTTTCCATATCTTCAGAGTTTTCATAGTAGGAAAATATTTTGGTAAGAACTGTTAGAAATATTATACACTTCTTCATCAAAAATATTTTTATTTAAGAAATATGAAAAGCCATAATTAAATATATCGTTAATGGTGGTCCCAGCCAAAACTGTAATGGCATGAATCAAATTTATTTTGTATTCCAATTTCTGATTACTGAGGGTACCATATTAGACCTCTTTCTGAAAGAGCCAGGGAGTGAATATCTCCAGCCTCGTGTGCTGAAGAGTTGGAACAACCACTACTCATCTGTGCTGTGGTAGCACAAAAACAGCCAAAGATATTATGTGGATGAATAGACATGGCTGTGTTCTAATAAAAGTTTATAGAAGTGGGGTGGACAGGTGTGGGCCCTGTATAGACATTTGGAAGGGCACATCTACACAGACCAAAACGACAGGTTAGGGGTATGGCAGCGACAGAAGGGCACTGAGAAAGTCTTTCCATTTCTTTGAATCCCCACTGCTGGCCTTCTTACCTGCCTCTCCAGTCCTGTTTTAAGTGCCAGCCCAGAAGGGATCTCAATTCTCCATCATGTAGTTCTCTTGTCTCCTGGGATAGTTTCTCTTTAAATCCTTTTCTTTCCTCTTCTTGTTGGTGTATATTTGTGAAGAAAGAGTTTGCTTCTGTCAATGAACTGTATAATTAGGCATTGCCAATAAGAATTAGAAAGCTTGATTATCCTTGTACCAGCCTCTGTACAAGTGATTCCTCTCTCCCCCATGCTCTGCAGGTGGCTCTGCTACTGTACTCAGGTCGAGTGCATGTTTGAAAAGGTAGAGTGATATTAACTCTATGGTAACTTAAGATTTGTGATCATGAAATTTGTTCCTTGTTTGCCAAACATTGTAAGGTCATTTGTTTACTACAATGAAGTTACTGAATAGTGTGACATCAGCTATGCCTTTATTTTACTTCCTCACTAAGATTTAATGAAGCTGAAGCATTCTGAGGTCAAGAAATGTGCAGTGATTTCAGTCCATGTCCAGTTTTCACATACTATATTAAATATCACTTGTCATATTTCGCCTATAAAAATAAAGAAATAAAACAACCTAAAGCAGAGAAAACAGTTGTCAGTTTAATCAGTGACTCAGGTATTTGAAATAAATCCCTTATTAGATAGTAATGCATTAAACTATATGATCATATATAATTGAGTTAAAGAACTGCTGAGGTATGACTGGAACTTTCCATGAAAAATTAAGGTTATTTCACCCTTTCCAACTCCAAGTACATTGGCCTTTTTTTCTTGCAAAATAAATTCCAGAGTAAAAATTATAATAAAATCTCTTTTTTTGCTTCTTGTAAGAGAAAGTAAAGATAACTGTCCCAAAGGTAGATTGTATATAAGATCCACCACTTCTTAGTCATTGACACTTAGTTTACTCTAACTCTCCCCCTGCCTTCAATTTGTTTACTTTCATGCTATTCAAAATGCTGTAGTAACGAGTCAAAGTGAGAAGCTGACTTTTTTTTTACTCAAGATCATTGATATATAATCTTACATTGGTTTCATATATACAACACAGTGGTTCAACAGTTACCCATATTATTAAATCCTCACCCCAACTAGTGTGGTTTCCATCTGTCAACATAGGAAGATGTCACAGAATCATTGGCTATATTCTCCACTCTGTACACCCATTCTCATGACCAACTTATATTATGACTGAGATTTTTTGTGCCCTTTTATCCCCCTCATTCCCTCCCCATCTACCCAACCCAACTGCTCTCCCATGGTAACTACCAGTCACTTCATAGTGTCTCTGAGTCTACTGCTATTTTGTTTGTTTTGTTTTGAGCTTCCACAGATAAGTGCAATCATATGGTATTTGTCTTTCTCTGCCTGGCTTATTTGATTGAGCATAACACCCTCTAGGTCCATGCATGTTGTTGTAAATGGCAGGGTTTCTTTCTTCTTTTATGGCTGAGTAATATTCCATTGTGTATAACCTCTTCTTCATTCATTGATCTTCTGGTGGATACTTTGGTTGCTTCCATATCTTGGCTATTGTAAATAGTGCAGCAATTAAAAGGGTGCACATGTTTTTTCAAATCAGGGATTTTGTTTTCTTTAGGTAAATCCTAGAAGTAGAATTACTGGGTCATATGGTATTTCTATTTTTAATTTTTTGAGGGACCTCCATATGCTTTCTGCAGTGGCTGTACCAATTGACATTGCCACCAACAGTGTAGGTGGGTTCCCTTTTCTCTGCATCCTTGACAATTGTTATTTCTTATCTTTTCGATAGTGGCCATTCTAACTGGTGTGAAATAACATCTCATTATGGTTTTCATTTGCATTTCCTTGATGTGTGGCATCTTCTCAGGTGACTGTTAGCCATCCTTATTTCTTCTTTGGAAAAATATCTGTTCAGTTCCTCTGCCCATTTTTTAATCAGGTTGTTTGTTTTTTTGATGTTGAGTCACATGAGTTCTTTATATATTTTGGATGTTAACCCCTTATCAGATAAATGATTTACAAATATATTCTCCCATACTGTAAGCCTTTTTGTTCTGTTGATGGTGTCCTTTGAGGACAGAAGCTTTTTAGTTTAATGTAGTCCCATTTGCTCATTTTTTATTTTGTTTCTCTGGGCCAGGGAGATGTGTCCAGGAAAAAACCCATGCTTATTATTCAAGAGATTTTTGCTCATGTTTTCTTCTAAGAGTTGTATGGTTTTGTGTCCTCCATTTAGGTATTTGATCCATTTTGAGTCTATTTTTGTGTGTGGAGTTAGACAGTAATCCAGTTTCATTCTCTTGCATGTAGCTGTCTAGTTTTCTCAGCACCAGTTATTGAACAGACTCTCTTTTCTCCATTGTATATTCATGGCTCCTTTATCATGTATTAATTGACCATATATGCATGGATTTATATCTGAACTCTCTATTCTTTTCCATTGATCTATGGGTCTGTTCTTGTGCCAGTACCATACTATTTTGATTACTGTAGCTTTGTACTGTAACTTGAAGTCAGGGAGCATAATCCCCCCAGTTTTGTTCTTTTTTCTCAGGATTGCTTTGGTTATGTGGAGTCTTTCATGGTTCCATGCAAATTTTAAGATTATTTTCTTCAGTTCATTGAGAAATGCCATTGGTATTTTGATAGGGATTGCATTGAGTTTGTAAATTGCTTTGGGTCATTTTGACAATATTAATTCTTCCTATCCATGAGCACGGGACAGATTGTCATTCATTTGTGTGAGAAATTGACTTTTGGCATTAATGAGGAAACTGTTACTGTGCAAATTCTTGTTAGGGTGGCAGAGACAAATGGTCTGATATTCTTGGGGTAGAGGTGGAGGTTGAAGAGCTAAAAATGTAGAGAGAGGGCACTGTGGGGAGTTCTGGGCCTTTAGTCCCTGTAATCCACATGTCTCTGCACTGGTTTATTCCCCAATATCTAGGGGTATAATTCTTTTTCATATGAAGGATATTCTTCATACATACATACATATATACATACATACATACATACATACATGTGTATGTGTATATATATATATACACATACACATGTATGTATGTATGTGTGTGTATATTCACATAAAGATGCAAAAATATCGTGAAGCAGCTTATCAAGGGACAAATACCTTCACTTTGCATTTAGCAGTGACTCAGCAGGAGTGTTGGAATGATTGGTGCTCTGAAGTTCCTCTTCCAACCAGCTGCCACTTCCAGATCAGCTTTGTGACCTTAGGCAAGTCACATAGCCTTTCTGGTGTTTACTTTTTTGTTTGTAAAGCATAGATAAGTACATGTACTTCGTAGGATTATGTAAAGCACTTAAAACAGTGACTGGCAAACACTAAGTACTACTACTATTATTATTGTTATTATTATTTGTGCTTGTCTTTATTCTTGAGGGACTTGAGAAATGTGCACAGTTCTTAATAGTCACAGTGACCTTGGAAGTGTCAATTCTTATCAAAGCACCAGGTGGCTAATAAATACTAGAAGAGAGGAAATTGCCATTTATGGATGTTTGAGACACATGATTGAATTGGCTATGAATGAAATTTCCTTCTATTGTTTTTATTAATATCTTTATTAATTTTATGAGTATCTTTTTAATGGATTGTTCTTTTTTTGGGTGTTAAGGATGAAACTATAGTTCGAGTCCCTGGAAAATGTTGCCCACAGTGCTCTTCCCGATCCTGCTCTGCATCAGGCCGAGTATATGAGGTAACCTTTGATGTACCCCATGTTAGGTGCATCGTGTGTGCTCATGCATCTGCCTTCTGCCCTCCCAACCATGGTACCTTCCCACCCTCACGTCTGACTCTTTGCCGGGTTTAGGAACTAAGTACATACGTGGCTTTTTTCTTCTCTTCATGGAAAGCATTTATGAAAAAAAATAAATTGAAGAGGATTAGAAGTACAAAGGAATGTGCTGGCAGGCAGCACCTGGTTCACGAACGTTGGTGAATTAACTGTTCGCCTATCTTGAAGTGAAAAAAGGACTATCACTGATTATTATCAATTTACATTTAGGTTGGAGGCTCTGGGAGTGGCCTGTCTGCTTTGATTAGGTTTAATTCACTGATATCCACTAACAGTATCCCCCTGTCTTACACTGCGCAGGGGGCATGGGGATGGTGGGGAAGAAAAGGAAGGGAGGCGAGAAGCTGGTGGTGGTAGAAACTGCGAACTTGAAAGTACCATCAGGGCAGTCTAGACACCTGTGCTGAACACATAGTAGACCCAAATAAAAATGAGTTCAACCAATGAAGTGAATGAATGAATGCTCTGTCTTAGGAGTACCCAGCTGAGTCAAAAGGTTACATTATTCAAAGAAAAGAACACTTAAAAATAAACCAACTTCCCTTGCTTGCTAGATGCTCTAAGGAAGACTAAATAGAAATCGGAATTAAGACTCTCAGTAGGGAATCTGAAACTGAGTATTCTAGATGGGCTGCTTGTAGTCTGAATAAAAGTAACAAATTGGGAAGGGGTTTTTGTATGTACTAGTTCTGTGCTGGGCAACACAATAGCCGCATATGCTCTAGATTAATTTTTCCTGGAAGAGAGAGCCTCTATATCCGTTATGCATTTTTGGCTGCAAGTAACAGAAATACCCCTCTAAAAATGGCTAAAATGAAAACATTTATCTCACGTAACAAGAAGTCCAGAGAGAGGGCACTTGTAGGGTCAGTCTCTTCAGATCCAAAGATCAAGGATCTCAGCTCTTTTGATCTTTCCATCCCTCCACAGCATGTTAACATTTGCTTTTTGCCCTGTCCCCTCATGTCCCCAAGGCGGCTTCCTCAGTCTCACACAGCTCATCCTCACACAGTTATTACTACAGGCTGATGGAAGAAAGGCATAGGCTTTTATTCTTTGGGGGAGTCTTTACCTCCACCTCGGCTGCTTTAGCAAGCATCCCCTAAGGTCCTCTCAAGTAGGATTGGGACAGTGTTCATGCCCTAGAGCTGCAGTGGAAGCTGGGGAAGTGAGGATTTGGCAGTGTGAGGTAGGTCTTCTGGCAAAGAAGAGTAAAGAATGACCCCTAATTAACCAGTAAATAGGGTCTTCCTCTTCCTCTCAGCGTTCCAGGGCCTACGTGTGCCTGGCACAACACCGCCCTCAACATGTCTGTGGAATGAATACCACTGAGTGAAAATGAATCCAAAGTTCCCTTTGGACATTTACTGACTTTTTTTTAGAGTCTAATGCTACCTGCATTTCTCTGGAGTATTTTCAATGTGGCTCAATTAAAAATTCTAATAAAAATCATGTGTCTTATGTGCCTGCTGATGTTTCCATTTGGTAAGTGTGACATTTAATTTTCCACCTTCTTTTATCCTCTTTACCCAGCATGGTGAGCAGTGGAGTGAAAATGCCTGCACCACGTGCATATGTGACCAGGGTGAGGTCAGGTGCCACAAACAGGCCTGCCCTCCATTAAGATGCGAAAAGGTATTTCAGAGTGTGTTGCTAGATTTTCAAAGCTTGATTCTATGTCATTTGAGAGATGCATTTCTTAATCCAGTGTGTCCTTTAGAGGGAATCAAAAGTTTTATGATGTTTGGGACAGTAGATAAAGATATGAAAGATCTGCTTCCTAGGAAGGAGGAGGAAGGGGAGGGACCTGCCTAGGCTGGGTGAGGTGCGGGGTGGTTTCATGCTCTCCTGAGCACTGCCCTTCATCCCCATCCTTGGTCTCCTCAGGGTCAGAGAAGGGCTCAGCGCCACGGGGAATGCTGTGAGGAATGCGTGCCTTCTGCTGGGAGCTGCTCGCATGGTGGGACTGTGCGTTACCAGGATGAAATGTGGAAGGGCTCGGCCTGCGAGTTCTGCGTGTGTGACAGTGGCCGAGTGACCTGCCAGAATGGAGAGTGTGCCAAAGTGGAGTGTGCCCAGGTAAGAAGCCAAGCCATTTCCACTTGGATTGTAACAGCTCTCTCCAATGGGACAGGTGGTCGGTCCCTCACCTGTTCCTTACTTTTTGGCAGCAGAGGGGATCACCAGGTTGACCACTCACATTTCAAGGAGCCTCCTAGCACACAGATTCTGTGGCATAAAGTAAATGTCACTGTTCAGATTGGGTTGGAGCAGTCCCCTGGAGCTTTGAGTTCTCAGTGCATCTGCTCAGATTGGACGCCCTGAGCCAGAGACATGAAAGGGAAGGACATGATATGGGACATTAGCCTATCAGTCAGCGCCCTGGACCTCATTGCTGGAGCCTGCGCAGGGCCCACTGGCAGCATTTAGCAGACAGGAGAGCCAACACCAGGACTTGCTCCTTCTGATCGGGAAAGAAAATAAAATGTTTTTTGTTTTGTTTTTGTTTTAAAGAGAGAGGAAGGGAGAACCTCATAAGTAATTAACTCTGTTGACCTCTGTTGACTTCTGCTGTCTGCAGAATTTCTAGAAGCTTCTGACAAAGCAGTCTCTGTCTCGACTATAGATGTACATGGTAGGGAAATTGTTCTTTCTTTTTCTTTGACCTCAGTTTTGACCCATTGCAAAACAAATTGCTTTTAAAGTTGTCTCCTTCTCTCTTGCCACTCCCATCCACCCCACCAATCCCCCGCAGGGTTGTGTAGTTGGGTAGATGAGGGACGCTTGGGAGATCTGAAGCACTGGGTGTCTGTGAAGGCTTTTTTCTTTCCAGTTCTTCTCCCCCACATCTCGGCTCCTCTTAACACTGAGCCTAAGGAGGAACCACCTTTCAAACAGGGCTGTACATGATAGGCTTATTTTTCCTTTGCCTCCTACTTCTAAGTTTTGGCAGAACTGAGACCTATTTAGGTAAAGTGGGTCTTGCTTTTTGCAGACTTATTTTCCCCCACACACCTTTTCATTTCTTGTCTTTCTTTCTGTCGGGAGAGTCAACAATGCCCA